TTAGCTATAGTTCATTGGTTACACACAGGCCTTATGAGGATAAGCCATCCTGTAGTAGTAGTGTGTATCATCCTTGTGTTTATCCTGCAGCAGCCATATTTATTCAGTTTTTGACAGTTCGTTGGAATGAAAAAAAAAAAAGAAAAAAGACTTATCTACTACCAAAAATTTCAAAAATCGCTTGTTGATGGCAATTGACTTGATGGAGAGTAGCAGCAGCAGTAAAACCAATAACCCTTTTCACGTGGCTCCGGTTTAACAAACCGCAACATACCGCTCGAATTCGAGTGGTAGGTATCCATCAAGGATGATACACACTACTACTACAGGATGGCCTATCCTCGTAAGGCCTGTGTGTAACAAATCCCCCACTACCCCTTCCCCACCCCACCAACAAACAACTAGTTATGACGTCGGCAGTGGTTGAAAACAATTGAAAACCAATATGGCGGCGATTACCAAAAACGAGGCCGATAAGCACTCTTTAGGTGCTTTCCAGTGACCCATTTGAGTTACTCCTGAGCAGCTCAGGAGTGCTCCACAATTGCTTTGTGCGTTCCAGTGCTTAGAGTGTCGTACACTTGAGCTACTCATTTCTGTTATCCCCTGCCCCCTCGTACACCAACCCTTTTGTCTGTGTTTCATGCTCCTGAAATCCGAAATGGTGGGGGTTAAGACAAGAGCGTTCCAGGGCTGCGTTCAAAAACGGCTAAAGCCAAGCCAAAATTGGCATATTGCGTTCAAGTTCGGCTCCAGCGTGCCAAAAACGGTTGGCTTTACACGTTCAGAATCGACCGCGGTAAAGTAACTTTTGGAGGTGGTTTTAACTGCGTCTAGAAATGGTTATACGAATTTTGATTGGATGAGACCAAATTCAATATGGCGTGGCGGCCAGCAAGTTAGTTTTGAATATGTGTTTTCATGCATATTTCAATTATTTTGCTTCGAGTTTTGCTTGCAGCTTTGATTTTGATTATTCAATAAAATATTTTTAGGTACGTAAACTATTGATTTGGGCAGAAACCAGAATTTTTTTTGTGTTTTTTCGTTCATGTGTGGACGCCACGCCATCTTGAATGTCACGTGGTTTGGATTGTCTAATTGAGAAACGGTATTTGGCGTTCCAGCAAATTCACATCAGATTTGGTATTGCCGGTAGAAGGGGAAAAGTAGGAGGAGGCTGTGGCATTGCCGTCTTTGAACGCACTCCAGTGCTGCTTATGTCGAACAGTTCAAGAGCGTCACACTTCAGGAGCATGATACTCTAACAATTTAGGCACTGGAAAGCGGCTCTTATAGAGTGTGTATTCTCCCATCACGTCACTTAGTAACCGGGTCAGAAAACTGTATGTCATTTCTCTAACCGTTTTGTAACCCGGTTAGTTAAACCGGAGCCACGTGGAAAGAACTAGTGAATATGAGGAATATTTAGGGCTTCTGGCAGAGAGGGAAGAACTTTTTTTTCATTTAAATTATAATAAGCACAAATATAATTTTTTTAATGAAATTCCATATTTGACGTTTGACGTATATGGGATGGTTCAGTACGATGATGTTTCTTTTGGGACTGCTCGCGTGCAGTTTTTTTGAAGTGTCAGTGCGAAACGAGTGTTGCACTTGCTCTACCAATGGAATACGCTATGTTCGAAATTTGGAACGGTTCTGGAATTGCGCAGAACTTCTTGCGCACAAAAAATAATGGAGAATGGAGAACTTCCAATACTAATTCTGAACCGATTCGGAACCAAAAAAAACAAAACAAGCCGCAAATAACAAAATTCCAAAACAGTTCCTCCTTCAGAGCAAGAACTGCGAGAACCGTTCTAGAACAATCCCAGAATCGTTCTTTGAGTTCTAAATAAACCAAATCTCAACACAGTTCGATAACAGCTTTGTTTTGTTTCCACTCAGAACTAGTTCGGAATCATTTTGTGTTGTGTTGATAGCATTTTGATCTATTTGAAACTATTTTTATATAAAAATGACTCTGGGATTGTTCTCTCAGTTCTTGCTCTTTGCTCTGAAGGAGGAACTGTTCTGTAATTTTAGCAGCATAGCAGCTTATAGTGGTGACGTCACCCGCAAGCCTCAAATGCATGCTTGCGATTCAGATTGTGCTACTTTTTTCGTCGATTTCAAATGTAGAAAAGGTGATTTTAACAAGATTATAACGTCTAGGAATTCGCTGTTTTGACTCAGCTAATGCATTTTACTTTTCGCCAAGAGTTGAGGTCTGCGGCTGAAATCAGAAATGGCACACACTTTCAGCTCAATAACACAGTTTTCAGTGCTATTTAGGTGCTCCTAAAAAGCCGGTATTTTCGTCCTAAAAAGTTCAAAGTTAAAATAGTTCAAGTTTTTCTTCCACTATTCAGGAGCACTTAAATAGTACCTAATTCCAATACAACATTTTAGCCACTGTCATCAGATTCGCTGCAAATACACCCTTAAGTAAACGTAAAGCCAGCAGTTCCCTTAGTATTCCTATTCCTAGTAATGAAAAAAATCTGAATGACTGTTCTTCTACGACTATTTAGGAGTACTTGAATAGCTTATTCGCTAATTAGTAATTCCTATCCAGAAACTAGCTTCTGCACATGCACTGGCTTTACACGCGGTAAACTCCGAGCAGTCCAACGCGCTCGAAACGATAGGATCCTATTCGTTCTAGCTCTCAGAGTGTTCTCTTTTGCGTTCTGGTTACAATCGAGCACGTACCTATTGTAAAAAAAAATTTAATTCGGTTGGCGAATGGCGATTCCGGTTTTTTTCCCAGATCTGTGTTCAGACGGTTTATGAACTTATTAAGGGCGAACACTGCGTATGTCGTCACCGTCACGATATCCATGTTCATACCGTTCCGCACCGTGGAATGCAATTGTGCAAAGCTATATACGGTCCGGTCGTGCAATCTTTCTTCGGAGCTCTTGGTTCATAGTTCTGTGTCTATTCTCGAAACCGGGGAACAGCAATCTCAGGAGAACGATTGCTCTGTCTTGTCAGTGTTAAGGTGCGTACAGACATGCAACAGAACGCCGTAACGTAACTTCACCGCGTAACAAGTACGCGACATATCTGGACCGTACTCTGCAACATCGTAGCAGTACAGCAACCGCGTAACACCGTAACATCGCAGCGTCCCATCGGTTGTCGGTAAATCGACACCGCATCAAAGAAATGTTCGCGGCGATGTTGCACTTGATTTTTTTAGTCTGGACGTGCTTGCGAACCCGGTGCCGTTGTTTTGGTTTTGCCCTTTTGTATTTCCACTATTTCCAGTCAAATTCAGTTGCTATTTTGATTTCGATAGAAATGGAGTGGACGGAAGACAGTGTGCTTGAGTTTATCGAAATTTATAGAGGGAAGGAAATTTTATGGAATAACAAACATCCCAGATATTTTAATAAAATTCAGAAAAATGATGCGTGGGAAGATGTCGCAAGAAGTGTAGGTGCTACGATTGACGAGTGCAAGAAGAAAATTAGTGCGTTGCAGTCAGCGCTGAGGCGGGAAAAGTCAAAAATTAAAAAAAGCATGGGCACCGGAACAGGTAAAGATTTATTAATTAATTAAATTTTTTTGACACTTCTAACAGCCAATTTTTTTAACAACTTTCTCAAGCTTGTTGCCTTCAACAAGCTTTCGAAACCTGTTAAAAAAATGTTTTCGAACAATTATCAATGTCCTTGGGTTGTTACTACTGGTATAGTTTTTCCAAAGTCAATTGGAACAAGGTAAACATAAATCATACTGGTGGCCGGCTGACTAGTGGCAGTGGCGGCAGTGCATTTCTTATGGAACTTTCCAGTGACCATCAGTCAGCCACCAGTTGGTACCTTGTTCCAATTGACTTTTGTAATAGTATAATATGAATTGATTAATATACTATTATTTCAATTGTAGGGCGTTCCGATGTGTATGAAAGTTCTTGGTTCGCATTCAAGAGCTTGCTATTCCTGTGGGACAAAAACAAAGTACGCAATACTCAAAGCTCTGTAAGTGTTTATTTATTTATTTATTTATTTTTTTCAATATTATTTAAGTATATTTATCTTGCCACAAAATCCGCCCTTCATTTTGAAAGAAATCAGCCAATTCTTCTCGAATTGCTTTAGCCTGTATGGATGGTTTTCTGGGAATATTTCTGAGAGGAAGTAGCGAAGTAGTTGGTTCATTACTTGAAGCTCTCGCTCCATCGACAAGTTTTCCCTCTACTTCCGTATCGAATGTTCCGTTTGGTGTATACAAGTGACAGGAGGAGGAACTTTTCCTTAAGAAATTATGTAAGTGAGCTATTGCCATTACAATGAGCTCAGCCTTTTCAGGACTTAGCAGCATGGGTTTCCGGAGTGCTCTAAATACTGCTGAAGCAATACCAAATACATTCTCTACGACTCTTCGCGCGCGAGATAATCTATAATTATAAACCCTTTGTAATGATCCTTTGGGGTGAATTCCCGAAAACGGTTTCATTAATGTATCAGTGAGAGCAAACGCCTCATCTCCAATGAAAAAATAGGGAATTTCGCGTTGTCTACCATCCAAAGCTTCAGCTAGTGGCAATCTTAACTCATTTTTTTCTAGTTTTTTGAACAGGGAACAATTTTTGAAAATGCCACCATCAGAAATTCTTCCTTGGCCTCCAGCATCAACATACAAAAAGTTGTAATGAGCATCTACTACTGCAAAAAGAACTATGCTGAATGTCGATTTGTAGTTAAAAAAATCGCTTCCTGTATTAATAGGTGCTTGCAAAACGACGTGTTTTCCATCGATTGCCCCTAGGCAGTGCGGAAAGTTCCAAATATCGTTGTATTGTTTTGCTACTTGTAACCACCCCTCTGATGTTGTTGGTATCTGTAAAAAATATCGTTTTCAGAAACTTCAAAGAATAATGATTCTACTAACTAAAAAACCTTGAATTTATGACCTGATCTACAAGACATTTCTTTCCCAACCCAGAAAACTATTTTGTCATATTATCGAAAAAATATCAACAGAACTTTTTATTTGGTTGCAGATTGATAAAGAAACAGACGAAAGTAATGATGTAGATGATGATACCGCTTTGCGAGATATGAATCCGGACTCTGAGGAGCCCCAGAAGACTAACGACATACAAGAGCCTGACGAGACTGAAGAGCATCATGAGATTCAGAAGCCTCACGGGACTCAGCAGTCTCACGAGACTCATGAGCTTCGCGTGACCCAGGAGCCCAACGAGTCTCAGCAGACTCCAAAGACTCGGATTAGAGTCAGTAACAAGGAAAGAAAACCCCCTCAGATGACTCATAGTATCCCGAACAAAAAACGTGCAGTTGAAAAATTGGATGCTGCTTTCGAAATTCTAACAAAGGCATCGAATAAGGAACCACCGCAGGATCCAAGCGAATGTCAAATATTTGGAAATCTTGTAGCCAAGAAACTTAGTAAATATTCGAACGTAGCACAAACGGCAGTACAAGAAGCCATCATGAATATTTTATTTGCGGCAGACAAGGGGTATTATAATCAATATCCCGCTCCAAGAGGTTATCAATCAAACAATTATTCCACAATCCAAAGCGAACTTGTACAACGTGATTCGGTTTACCAAGATACTCAGTTGATACAATCCCCATATTCACCCCGTCCCGCAGCTCATTGGGATTTTGCAACTGACGCATCATCCCAAGCGCCTCAGTTTTCACCGGTACCACTGCCACTAATATCTCCAGCATCAGCAAGTTCACAATGCTCGGGTATGACAAATTATTCCGCTTCTACCAGCAATCCACCCCCATTTACCAGTGCAACATTACTAACTGATTTAAACTTGCCAGATAATTAAATGATATTCAAGAACAAAATTTTATAGAAAAATGTTTTATAATAAAGAATTTTGAGCAATAAATAAATCAACATACCTGTATATTCTCCTTCAACCCTTCTATGAGAGCTTCACACACTTCTGGTACTATAGCGCTTATCGATTGTTTCGAAATTTTGAACAGATATTGCAGACTCGTGAAGGAATCTCCAGTCGCCAGAAAACGCATTGTTACTGCCAATCTTTCCTGAACCGAAATAGCTTGTCTCCAATTAGTGTCTCTTCTTGATACTTTTGGACCGATTAGGTTAATCAAAAATTCAAAATCAGTTGGCGACATTCTGGTAAAGTTTTTGTATAGACCACTCACAGACTGGAAGTTTAGGTCTCTCAATAAATGACGACCACTGTACACAGTTCTACTGGTGTATAATTGAGTCTGCCACCAGCGTCTTGGTCTGCGTTTTCTCTTATGCACTAAATAGTGCATAACTATGTAAGCTGCAGCAGCAATGTCCATCTTGCTTGAACGTAGATACCAACTAACTAAAAACGTTGCTAAAAAGCTGGGACGCCTAAATGTTCCGCGCCGATGTTGCGCGGCGATGTTCTGTTGCACCAAACTAAACCCACTTTCCTCATCGCAACGTAACAACGTCGCGCAACAGAACATGTCGCGTGCTTGATACGCGGTGAAGTTACGTTACGGCTTTCTGTTGCATGTCTGTACGCACCTTTATGGAAATATAAATATGGGCGACAGAGACAGAACCTTTATTCTCATGAGAACGCTGTTGCTAGGTTTCAAGAATAGACACACTGACGTCACAACTCGGAATTTCTGATTTACTACGTCATAACTCGGAATTTCTGATTCCTAGAGCATGCAATTTATAAACGCGCTCCAGGTGCGGAACTGGTTTCACTCGGGGCAAAAAGTGCTGCTCTTGACCTAACATGTGTTCGGCTTTCGGTCGGGTGTTTCTGTCAAATTGAAATTTCAAAACAAGAATCAGTTCCTGTTCCTGTTTGATTTTATTGAAAAAAATTTAAATAATAAATAAATAAAAAAAAAACATTAATTAACATCTCTCTTATTTAAATAATAATGAATATGGTGATAAGAAGCAATGATAAACAGTCTTGTTATCGTCGAAAAAGGCTTATTTTCCGAGATAATTTTGTCTTGACTTAAAGCACCGCTCATTCAAATTTCGATGGATTCGCCTAGAAAATTGCTCAGCAAAAGCTTGGTCTCTGCCAGACAATTGATTCGAGTAAGTTTTATTTTGATTTAAAAAAATTAGGTATTTTGATTTATACTAGGCAATAGTGCCAGTCGAGGGGTGTTTCACTCACTAAATTTTGTACACCTACTGTATTTGACTGCATTGATTGCATCAGAGATGATAGTTGACTGCACTGACTTTTGAGCATGATCTTACAAGATTGGGCTGCACGCTACTGCATGTGACTGCACCTCGATTGCAAGTGACTGTATTATGACTGCATGCGACTGTCTAATGACTGCATGAATCCAGTCCATGTATTCCATTGACTGCATGAGAATTGTATGGACTGCAGAAGAATGTATGGACTTCATATACATGAATGTACGATATTTGTACACCTACTGCACAAATGAAACACCCCTTGTCAGTAGGTACCTACTATCATTGTATATCATAGCTCCAAAATTCTTGGGACACCTCTGTAACACAAAAAAAGCCTTTTTACAAATTCGTCTGTTTCTCCTTTAAATTTCATCAAGATAATTTCTTAAAATTATTTATTCTTGATTTCAGAATAAGTCTTTTGTGAGAATCGTAGAAGTTGGTCCTCGTGATGGTCTCCAAAACGAACCAACCAATATATCTACAGCAGTTAAAGTTGAACTCATCAACCGGCTATCAGAAACTGGTTTGAAGACAATTGAAGTTACAAGGTAGAAAACATAAACCAACATTTCCTCTAAAACTAGCCCTCTGAAATTTCAGTTTTGTAAGTCCGAAATGGGTCCCGCAAATGGCAGACAATACAAAAGTGTTTCAAGAAATCAATAAAAAAAAACTCGTTTCTTATCCTGTTTTAGTTCCCAATTTAAAAGGTTTAGAAGCAGCTGTAAGTACTTTTCAAACCATTTTTCAGTTCAATAGTTTGTTACTTAATTTAAATTTCCAGATAAAAGTTGGTGCCAAGGAAATAGCAGTGTTTTTATCAGCGTCTGAAGGATTCTCGAAAAAGAACATCAACTGCACAATTGACGAAAGTATAGTGACAGTAAAATCTGTCATCACCAAAGCTCAAGAGAGCAATTTAAAAATACGGGGCTATGTTTCCTGCATTGTGGGTTGTCCTTATGATGGATACATAAAACCAGCTTCAGTTGCTAAAGTAGCTGAAGCATTGCTTAGCTATGGTTGCTATGAAATATCTTTAGGAGACACTATAGGAGTAGGCACAAGAATTTCTTTGGAAAAAATGCTTGATGAGGTTTTAATCATTGCTTCACCTGACAAGTTAGCTATTCATTGTCATGACACATATGGGCAAGCTTTAGTGAACGTTTATACAGCTCTAGAAAAAGGTTTAACAGTAGTAGACTCTTCAGTAGCAGGTCTTGGAGGTTGCCCATATGCAAAGGAAGCCACTGGCAATGTAGCTACAGAAGATTTGGTTTACATGTTGCACGGACTAGGCACTGAAACTGGAGTAGATTTAAATAAACTTATAGAAGCTGGCAGGTTCATATCAGATTGTCTAAAGAGACCTCCAGCGTCTAGGGTTAATAATGCTTTGTTTTCAAAAATGAAGTAAAAATCGATAATAAAAAGGTTCAACATTTGAATTATGGACTACTTATTCCAATGACAAAAATGTACACCTACTTTATCTATAATAATAAATATAAGAACTATTTCTGGAAGAAATAAATTCAAATTTATGTATGTGGTTTGCGCATGAGTGGAGGTCTAAGCCGTTTTCTCGCGTCCACTTTTTTCAAACCTGTTTTGAACCAATGTCAAAAAAGTGGACACGAGAAAACGGCTCTAATGTGCATTTGTTCGGGATTGCCCCATTTGTGCTAATGTTCATTTACTCTACCCACCCGAAGTCGCTTTCGGGATCCTTAGGGCGGGAGTGTCCGACAGAGCCGAAGTCCGACCAGGGGGCAGATTCTCGGGCCAGGGAGTAAAAGTTCCAGAGAGAACAAATTTTTCGTCTTCATCATTCTCGTTTACTTTGACAAGGACAAATCATTCGTTCTATCGGGGAGCTCTACTCCCTGGCCCGAGAATCGGCCCCCAGAGTATAAAGGTCAATTCTCACTTACGTTTCACTCAGCTCGGCGACACGACACGACGCCGCGCTGCAAATTTTGCGATCGAATGTTCCATCCTGAAAATCTCGCACAATTTTATATAATTCTGGCCACATAATTTTTTAAGTACAAGGTATGTAAACTTCATTTTTTGAAGTGAATACTTCCTTGGCCGCATGAGAGTGATTTTTTAAGATCGCGTCACGACACGATTTATAAAATTTTCGTCTCGCAAGTGAGATGAAGCATATGATGAATATAAGGGAGAGAGAGAGAAAGAGATGGAGAATGAAAGAGAGTATTGTTCTCAACGCATTAATGTAATATGTACAATACATCTCTCTCTCTCTCTCACTCACTCACTCACTCACTCACCTCACTCACCCTCAACGAATCGATAAATAAGTATTCACTTCTATCACGTGTACTGTGCTGCACGCGACTTTTTTTGTTAGCACTTTTTTGATATTCCTAATATATATTTTAGCCCTAAACTTTTGGGCGAAACGTTGGCAAAGACTTAACAGCCTTTTATATTTTGTTCTAACCGACGAATCACCCCCTTCATTGTTTATAAAGTTAGATAAATAATACAGTTGCAATATTTTTATTGGTATTTTGGTACTTTGCAGAAATTTACATCATGAAATATTGTATTTATTTTCTATTTATTTATTGACACATCTTCACAAACACGATAAAGGTGCAAGCAAAGGTAAAATCGAGGGCAAAAGAACAAAGAGAGTAAAAAAAAAACAATAAATATGAAATTAAAACTAACATAAAAGACACACACATTCTTACCAGGAAACATTACACAATCACAGATTAAGATATTAAACCAATTAACTGACAGAGGCTAGTGTTGAATATAGGTATCAAATGGGCTTTCCCTGTTTACGATATTGCACTGTTCCATCATTTTATTTAGAGGAGATAGTTTATACTGACTAGTTTTAAAAATATCTATGCTAAGAATCCTTAACACGTTAATCGCCCAAATGGAACCTAAAAAAAAGTTTTGACAGGCCCAGATAAAATTATTTCTTCAATTGATGAATAATAAACAATAATCGCATATATTTGTATTTTTTTCCATGTGTTACCTAAAAACAACCGAAAATATTACTTTGAAAATAAAACCCGGCTTTTGGGTTTCGGGGCCCCTTCTAGGTGTGAGCCCCGAAACCCAACTAGCGGTGTTCAAAGATACAAGCCTAAGCTTGTTTACTACGTGCATGAATATTGGATAGTAGAAAATGTGTGTCCTGCTACGAAAAATTAAGTGCTGAACAAGGCAGAAAAGTAGCTCAAAGCAAAGGACCAGAGTCAAGATTTTCTTACATAGGTACAGTGTGAATTTTTCTATTGTCTGTCCTGTTTTTTGACTGTGACAAATATATAGAGTAAGCATTTATTTTATACGTTATTTTGGTTTATCATAGATAAATAATTTTGTTCTGTTAATCCATGCCTTCACCTACAATCAATAAAATGTGGTTCTACAGAAAAATATGACAAAAAATCCTAGGCTCAGACGTTAGTAGGGTCCCCCAGGCCCCTCTGAGAAAAACTCCATATATTGCAATGTTATTTGAAGCCCAAGAGCCGGGTCACAGGCTGTAAAGTGTAAGCGCATGGTGACACCCTACGTACAGGTCTCAGAGCCTGGTTGACCACAAGCACTGAAACCCAAATGTAGGGTGTCATGGCGATTAACGTGTTAAGTTAATTTTAGGTACCCTAAAATCCATAAAATTAATAAAATTACAATGTTTGTACTTCATATTAGGTATTGACTATATTATAGCAGGTATATAAATATCACAACTTGTTCATTTCTTCTTTGTACAAGGGATTTTATATGGAAACTGTTTAGCATTGCCCCATATAAGACAAAAAACTGGTACACTCCATTTTGCCCAACATACAGGAATCTCAAGAAACGCTTTTGAACTTTTTGAATGTGATGTGAGCCAGTGGCATCCAGATTTGAGCAGCATACTCCAAGTGAGGTCTCACTAGAGCATTGTATAGTTGAATTAGTGTTTCCATACTCAGATCTTTACCATTCCTTAAGATGAAGCCAATTAGGGTTGCCAGATTTTCAAAATTGAAAAGCGGGAGGTAGTCCATAGAAGGGAAAAATGTTTCGCCGCGGGCGAAATTCTTTTGTGGTGCCACGCGGTGTCACAATAAGATAAACCCGTCAAAAAACCGTCCCAAAAACGGTTTCGGCACCACTCTGTATACGAATTTCAGATTCTACGCACAAATTTTACGTTTTGCGCAGAATTCTGTTGGTGGAATGTAGTGAATGTACGGTTCCCTGCTGAGTTGGAACAAAACTATATCTTTGCAGTTCAGACCAGACTCAGACGCCCAAACGAGCTACGCTCTCAGTCTTCAGTAGTTCTGTCTTCGCTGGGAATTAGAAATAAAGAAAGAGGCAAACAAAGCGCACTCGCTTCTCGACGTTAATCGTAATGCACCCCGGTTGCGCTGCGTTGCAGATTTATAAAGAAGTATTAAATTTACAGTGAAAATAAACAAGAGCACCTAATTTAGAATCATTATTTCATGAAATTTCTATTTTTGGGAAAAGCGGGAGTTTTGTTTAAGGTGCGCGGGAGGCGGGAGGTTCAGTAAAAAAGCGCGAGCCTCCCGCCTAAATCAGGAGGGTTGGCAACCCTAAAGCCAATAGGTACCTACTCGTATGTCTTATTTGCTGTATATATATAATAATTGTTAAATTTAAAATTAGACTGAAAAAAGACACCCAAGTCCTTCACCTCACTAATTCGATCCAAGACCTTACCATTTACACTATAATTAAACTCAATATACATATAGGCAATAGACAACATACCCCTTTAAAAATTTACCAGAAGGCTTCTCCTCTGTGACAGTTCTTATCTAAAATATGTAAATCTGGGAAATAAGAGGAGGTTGCTGCATAATTATAACTTTCACAGAGACTATGATGGTGAATTTGTGCGAGTTTACAATAAGATGCGAAATTACCCTGAAATTTTTTTTCAATGATGCTTTCCGTTAATAAACAGCCGAAATTATTTGTTCTTCCACGCCGAATATGCCTTGCGCCTGGCTGAAAATATCAATCACGACTGATTGCCAGGTGGTGTGCTTGGTGGGCCGCTAGGCTGGTTAAGGTGGTGCGGAATCGCAGTGCGGCTGATTCGGTTTAATCACCTGTTTCGGAAACACACTACATAGTGGGTTACTTGGAGGGTCGCTTGGCGCCTCGCTACCCACTACCCTTCAGGTAAACCGCTCGCACTGCGGCCGCAGCTTTATATACAGGTGTGATAATACCCAGCTTCAAGGCATCCGGAAACTTATTATCTTCAAGAGCAAGGTTGAAAATAAATGCTAGGGGCTCTGCCAAATCTTCAGCTAGGCCCTTGTAAATAGGTTGGAATCTGGGTCATTACCTGAAGAATTCTTTGGTTTTAATTTTTTAATACTATTGATAACATCCCCTGCTGTGCTGTTATAACAGAGAAATTAAACAAAGTAGCCCCCGTACTAGCCCCGTAAGTTACAGGATCACTTGATGTTTCATACACGGACTAAAAGTACTTTGAAAAAGCATTAGCAATATGAAAAGCATTTGAACAATTTTCATCATCAAGCACCATTTCCCCTGGCACTCCATTATGATCTTTTTTATTTTTGAAAAACACCCAGAAAGATGTTGGATCTGCAATACTGCATGTATACATATATAATATTATATGATAGATATTCAATATATCGTGAGGATTTGCATTAATATGCAAGTCGCAAGACGCTTTATTTTCAAATTCCCTTTTCTGCCAGTCCAACTACAGACCGGGGCACAATGGTTTGTTAATAAACCTCCAATTTCCAATTGATCTTATCATTTTGCTCCAGGACATCCAACAAGAGTCATAGCGAACTCCAGTTCATATAGATTTTAAGTCCTGAAACAAATGGATAAAGATGTCTGGAAACCTATCGGCTATGCATCCAGGACAATGTCCGACACAGAGAAACGATATGCGCGGATAGAGCGAGAAACATTGTCTTTGACTTGGGCTTGCGAAAAATTCGCCCAATACCATCTTGGTCAAACATTTATGCTCCTGACTGCCACAAACCCCTAGTGGAACTTCTAGCAAGCAAACAATTAGCTGATCTAGCAGCTAGAATCCAAAGATTCCGAATGAGCGATTTTCGTATTATGTACAGTATATTCCCGGCAGAAACATGGTAATGCCTGACGTATTATACAGAGCCTCACTAAAATCCATTGATCATGGAGCAGATATTTTATTCGTCAACGAACTCATAGAAAAAGGGGAAGATTTTGCAAATCATATTCGTGAATCAATAATCAATTCCTAACAAGGACGCGCGCATAAAAAGTAGGTACCTATCTTGGAATGTCAGAAGAAAGATGTCCAAACCAAAAGAATATTAATTTACCTCTATACAAAATGGTTGGTCACACATTAAGGATTAACCAATCGAAGATAAAATTTTCTGCCAATATCAAGGTGAGATG